AATACAAAAAGATTTTATGAATTGAATATATCAAATTATGTAGTGTATTAGCTGCTGCCTAGCAACAACTTCCTGTCCATAATATTAGAAATTCTAAAATGTGTTGTTTGACTGATGATGAGCTATAGGCTTGAAAGTGCTTGTTGATATATACATTTGATTCATTCAGTTATATTTTACTCCAGTAAGGCAGTTTGTCTCTGTTTGTTAATTTAATATCTAGAGTTCTCATACATTTTACTTATGTATTAAACCTGTTATCAGTTTGTTGAAGCTATATACTTCTTTCTAAATCCCACATTAAAAAATAAAATTGTTCTAAGTGAAACACAATCTCAAAAATCCATATATAATTACTGTGTAATCAATTCGGCATCTACTATTAGAGGGATAAAGTAAGGCATAGAATAAAAATTTGTAAAGCATAAAATGATCTTATATAAGTTGTTTGGCTTCTATTGAAAAAGTTACTATAAATTCTGAATTAAAATATCAACTTAACATTTAAATATCATTTGAAAAACTTAAAATTTTTATATTAGACTCAAATACAAGCTGGAATTCAAGGAAAATATTCTAAGCCAGTGTTTCCCAAAGTTTTGATATCTGTTTACCATTCTTAAATTTTCATAAATACCAAGTACCTCTAGTCAAAAACAAATTTATTTCACACTACCCAAATGCAGCATTTATCACAGCTTGATTAGGAAAATTTATACAAAACATAGAATTTATTGAAAAATGCACCCATATTTACCCAATTAAAAGCAGATCTTTTTAAAATTTTTTTCATGGTTTAAAAAATGTCTCTTGACTTAGGATCACTGTCAGTAAAGTAGGTGACAACCTTTATTGACATCAAAAGTTTGGAAAAATATTGCCAGAAGCCACCACAGATAAGTTTCTGTGAATTTTGTAAGCTCACATGGAAAAGTACTTCAAAAGGAGTCATCACTGGTGCATTTAAAAAGTATTCAATTTCAAATGCACTTGACAGCACAGATGATGTTCCATATCAAAACAGAAACAAAGAATCAAGTGACACCAAACCTGAGTCATCTAATGACAGCAACTGAACAATTAAATGGTATAAAATTTATTCCATATGCTTGATAAATAAAAAATTAAAATTTATTATCATTTTTGACTTCCTGGGGTCAGCTTACAATCAGTGTCAGCTTATATTGGAATAAATACAGTATGTTAAAAATAATTTATTACTTTAGTATTTTTTCTAAATGATTCTGCATGACAATAATACATAGCCAAAAACTACCACATACTCCATAAAGACTTTGTAAATCCCAGGGCACACTTACCACACTAGGAAACACTGCTATAAGCTAAATGCTATCCCAGTCTGCAGAAAATGAATCTTCTCAAGAGAGAATTTGTTTCAACTCCAACTTTTCTAAATTAAAATGATCACATTAAGAATAACCAATCAAATTGCTATTTTTATAATTATTTTTCATTTTCCAAATCTGAAGTCTAAATGAAATTAGCAGTAAACAAATACAAGGTGATCCAAAAGTCAGTTAACTCAAATATACTGTATATTATAGTTAAACCCAGTTTTAAAACTGCATATTATATATAATTCATTCATTACATTTAAAATAATTGAATCATGTATAAATGACACAACTAATTGGATTTAACTGTTATTAAAATAATCTTAAAATACAAAGTGGTGCATAAAATGTAGCCCTGATCCAGTTCAAATCTATGGCATTAGTGTATTGTGTGGAGTGAACCAACGTCACCAGTTGAGCAGACTTGTGGTGAGTGAACACTAGTGTCACATATTGTGCAAATCTACACACAATACAGGAATTGAGGGTAAAGTACTGTACATCATCAGTGCCATTGATATCATTGTTTCACCAGTTGTTCCTAAACTTGATGTGCACAGCTGTGCATAGATTCAATAAATAACTACTTTCAACATTTATTATGATGATATCAGCAGTTGTAACTGTGTTTATTATTGTATTATTCTGTTTCTGCTAAGCTGCAACCTAGGGCTATTTTTTTGTTTTTCACCTGTATATCTAGATCATTTTGTACATCAAAAATGTTAGTTTTAACAGCAATAATGATTACTTTGCAAGAAGATACTTAAAATGCTTAAAAAGACATTAATCAAAATGTAAATAATTCAAAGAAAATTACAGAAAGGTTACATAAAGTATAAGGCATTTATTAACAGATAAAATGTTTTTTATACTTCCTCATTCTATTATTATTGGATTCTCTATGCGTTTAAATCGATACAGAATGACGGAAACATTTGCTTGAGTGTTTAAACAAAACTGAAATAGACTAGCTTAAATCAAACATCTCAGTCAAGTTAAGTGCCTTATTCAAATTTTGTTTAGATGATAAAATAAATGTTTCTATCATTCTTAAGTCAATTCAAATGTATGGAGGATCCATTGATAGAATGAGGAAGTACAAAAAACATTTTATCTGGTAACAAATTTTCTAATCTTCTTGTAGCCTTTATGTAACTTCTTTGATTTTTAGTGAAAAGTGTATACTTGAAACTTGTCTTTAAATAATTCAAAATCAAATATAGAGTTTCATGGCTTTTTGAGTTAATAATTTGTTTTTTTAATAGCTTTGTGTGAAATTCGTAACTTGTCTCATAAAATAACATAAAACAATTATGTATAATTCAAATTTTTTTCCCTTCTTAACCAAAAAACTTCACCATTTCAGATCAAAATTACGTAATAAGAGTATATACATGTTTTTAAATATCTTAAATATACATTACAGACATTTTTTTTTCTAAATTCAATTTTGAAAATTACATCAAACAATCAAATTAATACAATTAACTTTTAAATTTACTGACCAATAACATTTTTTTTTTTTTTGTATTAAATATAAGCATAGAAATAAATATGGTAATTTCTACCATTTGAAAATAGATAATTCAAGATCCAAACAACAACTCGAAATTGGAAAATACACCTTAACATTATCACACCCTGAGCTTGATATGTGATTTATACCATGACTTTTAACTATAATGTGCATTTTGTTAAATTCGAAACAGTCTTCATTAACAAAGAAAATTTTAGAAATTATGTATTTAAATGCAATTTGTTTTACACTTTGCAAGTTAGGAACATTCATTTATTGCCGAGTTATAAAGATATTTACATAGCCTCTATCTTTTTTTTTTTTTGTTTGTTTTTTTTTTTAAATTTTATTTAACATACAAATTGGAAAAATACATCTCAGTTATTCCAAATTTTTATTTTAATTGCATACAGAAAAAGCTCATTCGATTTCCGTGTAAATACTTTAATAATTATCACAATAACAAAATCGTGGATACACACATCATAACTAATTCCAAAAACTTACTCAAGTTTTTTTTTCTTATATTTGTTCTCTTTATAAAAACTTTTTATAAAGTATTTATATTTATTTTTTCAAAAATAATAGATAAATATCCAAATCTTTTTTTTAAGATTATTTATATTAAGCTTTAAAGTAATTAAAAAATATAACCATTCTACCAAAAAATAATTTACCAACAATACAAATTTCTATATGTATANATGTACAAAAAAGTTTTCTAAACTGTAAAAAACTTTACCAAAGTGTATAGGTAAAACTTGTCCAATAAATGTAATTTACATTTAGCGGAAAATGTTCCCCGGTTTTCCATAAATTTTCGTATTAAAATATACTAATATTTTCAGATATTAATTGAAAAGAAAAACAAAAAACAACACAGTGTTTAAGTAATAAACAATCTAATGTTGAGTAAGTCAAATTCAAAACTAAAATAATTTGAGTAATACAGTCTTGTTACTAAGATGTAGTACATCAACATAACCAAGTTGCGTACAGATTTTATAAAATTCGGCAAGTGCTTAATAATAATTAAAATTAATTTTGTAATTTTTAAACACATTGAACTATGTGGAAAAAAAAAATGTTTATTACAAAATTACTGTTGTTCTTTGAACAATTGTTGTTAATTGATGAAAAGAAAGATTTATGTTACTAATCATATCAAAATGTAATATTGTATTTATTAGCATAATGATTTTTTTAAAAATTTTTGTATTAACATAAGTCATAATGGATGTTTAAATACATAAGTAAAATTATCATCTTGAAAGAATGATTACTTTAAAGTAAAAAAACTTTACTATATTTATATATTTTAAAATTTTTAACAGTCTTATATAGAAAAATAAATAATCAAATAGCCAAACATCTACAGCTAGGTTATTTTTGGGTTAGAATTAAGCCAATTATAATTTATCAAATTACAGAATTTAGCTTAAAGGCTAAACTTCGTAATGATTCCATAATAAATTTCATAATAAATTCTATAATTTGATTAATAATTAGCTTAATTCTAGTTCAAAAATCTGGCTTGTTTACATTCGGCTGTTAGGAATTTCTACAACTGTTTATTTATTGATAAATAAAAATAAAACTGTTATTGTCAATTATTTAAGAGCTTTCATCTTTCATATGAAAATATCTAAATTTTGTACACAAAACTTTTTATGGTTACAATTATCTTAAATAATAGTAACAGAAATCTGTACAACAAATTGATATTTTCAGATCCAAAAGCTCTCACAAAGTGTTGATTTTTTAAATAAATAATGTAATAATATAAATTAAATCACGTTTCCTAGTTTTGAGCATTTTAAATATCATATTTATAAATAATAATTTAATTTTAGCATCAGTATTTTTTTTTAATTAAATAAGAAGGATTGTAAACCTTTGTTTCTGGAGGAGTTTAATAGAAGGATTAATATTTACTGTCATAAGTTCTGTCTTCAAATTACACAAAAACTATAAAAATATATAGGTACAAAAATTAATATAAAATGTAAAATATCAATATAAATATGTTATTAAAAATAAATTTAGCATAATTTGTATAATGAAAATAGTAAACAAAATTTAACTTATAACATATTTAAAAATTTTAAACTATTTATTTAATGCTAATTAAAATTTCCAATAAAATTTACATTAATATATTAACATGGACTCAAGATGATTTAAAAAATCAAATTCTTTGGTATAAAAATATGGAAAATATTTATCAAAGTCCTTTCCATAGTACAGGTATTTCAAATAGGAACTGTTTGTAACTTCTCAGTCAAATTAGCAACAAAGTTACAAAATCTGGACTGAGTTTATTAACTTACAACATTAAAGTATTAATCCTTCAATATAAAGCCACTTTCAGGTTGGAGCACTAATGCACTAACCTGATATTCATGTTGGCAAGCTAAGGCAGATGCATGTTCAGATTAATGTCAACTAGAGGAACTGAGTTTGCCCTGACAAGCACCAGCTATTCATTTCACTGGCATTTAGAGTTACTAGAGCACTCTAGAGAATACTAGCACTCCAACCTGAAAGCAACTTATTATAATATAATAAGAGTATAATGCACTTACTTCCATACAGTTGAGATAAAAATATTCTCAACTGATAATTGCTTAAATCTGTTAATAATTTTTCTGGGCTTTGCCAATGTAATGATAGATTAAATGTATAGTTAACAAACTACTGAAATCAATATTTATTAATAATGTAAATGTTGATTTTTGAGATAAAATTTTATTATTATTTATTCCACAAATAAATACTAAAGTTTTTCCAATTTATTACTTAGAATATAATTAACGTAGTTATTTTCATTGTTAATTAACGTAGTTATTTTCTAATATAACTCATTAATTTAAATGCAACTTAGTTGCCACGTCCTTAAGATGACTCATGTATAAAACTTTACTTTGTATTTCTTATAATCAAATAAAAAATATCATCTTTGTTTTTATAAACCAAAGACAAAACTTAAAGTCAATCATTATGCAAATAAATACAATACAATTAAACACTTTTCTTAATAAGCAAATAAAAACCTGAAAATATTTTGATATGACTTGTTAAAATATAACATTATGAATGATATACTTCTTTTTCTTTAACATTCTATCACTAATTATGGAATGTCTACGGACAAAATATTAAACACATGTTAATCTTAAATGTACAATATTCAACTGAATTATAAATAAATTTTTAATAATTATAATGGTCAATGAAATAACAATTAAAACTTTATGAAGTTCTAATAACTATAAATATGGAAATTAATATAAACACCCAATATTTAACAGTATAAAGTTTCATATCTCTGAAACTATAATATCTTAAATGATTTTTCAATTAGAAATATTTTAACAGAAATCAAATCATAGCACATTATAGTTAAAAAGACATAGTGTTTAAAAAATTTAACCTAATATTCTGTTGCCATATCTTTCACAATACTATGTGATTTTACATGTTTGTCACATTGATCTTTTCGAAAGAAAACTCTTCCACATATAGTACACCCATGTTTCCATACACCTGTATGCTGACGGCGATGTCTTTTACAGCTACTATAATTAATGAAAACACGTTCACATTCTTCACACTTATATATTTTTTTTCCTCTCTGGAATAATACAATTGCACGTGGCCTCTTTGGTTTACTAGAAGGCAATGATTCGCAATTATCATCATTCAGTAAAGTCAATTGTTCATTTTCGACTTCTGCTACATCGCTAACGGAAAGCTTTTCTGAATCGGCATTGTCACTGGCAGCAATAGTTAAAATGTCGAGTGCTGGCTCAACTGTAATTTCCTCAACTTCTGAACTAGGATATTGGGAAACTGGAATAGAATTTGCATTTTGTTCATTTGTCCAAACTGGCAAATCTCTTTGCTGTAAATTATAATCATTTCTTGCATTCCAACTATTAAACTGGAAATTTTGACCAGCAACACCAACAAATGGAACTATTTCCTGTGTATGGAAGACATTCTTTTCAACCTAGAAATGATTACAATTATTAATACTTCAATATATATTTTGAAATTGATAAAATTAAAAAATGATAAGACTTAGTTTCTAAAAAAACAAATTTGTGTCTTTGACTATGGTAATGCATTGTACAAGTATGAAAAATTTGATTTTTAAATCACTATTCACAACTTAAAGCAGCATGTAATTACAGAAACAAGTTAACATAGTAGTAGTGTCATCTAAATACCATCTAACATTTAACCAAATTGCAAGTGTTACAGATTTGATTCCTGCAATTCACTCATTTTATAAATTAATTAGTTTAAATAATAATTAATCATCAGTGCTTACAACAGATGGCAACATATGTATCTGTATTACCTAATTTGTCTAATTATTATTATTAGCCAAAGGTAATTAGCTGGAAGTAAATGTAATTTAATAAATTTTAGTAATGGTTAATTCATATTTAGTTTAATCTAAACAGATGATTTAAATTATTATTAATGAATGATTAAAATGAATATGGAAGATCTTAATCTTTAGATATCACTAAATTCTTATGAAGTCTTTTAGATATGTGAAAGATCTGAGTGTAAAAAGTTTTTACAGCACCTTTATTGAAGTATAGATAAATAGATATTCTTGATAATAAACTAAAAGAATAAACAATAAAATTTAAATGTCTCACCTCTGTCTTTGAAAAATCTGAATCCATCATTCGATGGCTTGATAAAGAAAATTCATTATTTTGAGAAGAATTATAATTTGCTTTACAATTTATTTTAGCTTTTGTTTGAGCTAAAATTTGTTCTTCTTGATCTTGTGGATAGGTTTCAATTGTTGATACAAAAGTTCCACACTTCTGCATATGGGATAACATATGAATATGTACAATTTCTTGTGACCCTTTATGATGACACACTGAACATTCATACATATCCATGACTACATGTGCTAACTGTTTATGTGCTTCTAACATTTTTGCTTCATTGTATTCTTTTAGGCACAAATTACATACATACTTTCGACTAGATTTACTTTCAGAACTGTTTGTTAACACAGATGTTTTAGTACATAAGTGACTCAATAAACTATTATGAGTACTAAATTGTCGATGACAGCGTGAGCACTGTTTGTATGATCCTTGACTTCTTCTTAAGGTGTCTTTTTCTTCTATTGAACAATCTAAATTGTTCATCTCAGGTCTGTGAAGACCATGAGTATCTTTAAGATGTACTACCATTTCTGTCATACTCTGAAAGACTAAAGAGCATTTAATGCATCCGTAACCTCCACTTTCTTGATGATTAGATTCATATGCTTTTGCAGTACCATTAACACTTCTCGATGTTATACTGGCTTTATTACTATAATCTAATGGATATATGATATCAGTACTTTTACTATCATCAGCTTCCAGTTCTGATTCAGAGTTACACGAAACATCAGAACCTTCATTCATTTTAATTTTTTCATTAGATGTACTTGATGTTTTATCTGAAGACTGAACATAATGAGAGCCTGGTACTTTGTGAGAAGATATCACATGTTCTTTTAATGAATATGGATCTGGATAACACACACTACAGTAATAACAACAAAATATATCACCATTTGATTCCATTCCAAAATGACGTGAAGATTCGTGATGCTGAAGGTGATCCTTTCGAAAGAAATATTTTCCACAGTATTTGCATGAATGTATCCAGTTTCCTTTATGCATTCTAACATGTCTTCTAAAACTGCCTTGATTTGTAAATTTTCTCACACAAATCTTACAGAAAAATGATTTGGATCTTTTATCTGTTGCATCTGTTGGTGGCATAATTTCTTCAGAAATTATTTTACTATTTTCATTGTCATTACAAATTTCAGATTCTCCATTAAATGTTTCATTTTCCTTATTATCTATTACTTTTGGATTATCATCATTTGCATTTTCATTTCCATTTGTTGCTTCATTTTCTTTAGGAAATTCCGATTCAGCCCAACCTTTCATGCATTCTTTTGTGTGAATGTTAAATTTTTCTTCATCCTGGAAACAAACTGAACATTTTGAACAAGTGTATGTTGAAGAATGTACTTTTAAATGATCCTGATGATCTTTATGTGACAAGGACACTTTTCCACATAATGTACATGTAAACCATTGAGTAGCATGGAAGCTATTTTTATGTAATTTCATGTGACGATTATAATTATTTAATTTATAAAAATTTTTCTGACATATTTTACAATAACCAGCAACTTTATCCTCATTTGTTTCAGAAATATATTCATTTTTAGTGATAGATTTTGTTGATTCTTCCAAAGAACTGAAATCTGTTTTTGATGTATTTAAATCTTTAATAGTATTTTCTGTTTGATCTGTTTGCTCTAAAATTATCTCTTTTCCCTCATGAATCTGAAAATGCTCTCTAAGAGAAAAAGCATCATTTGCTCTGTGACCACATTCAAAACAGATATATTCTGAAGTTAAATGATGATTCTTTATATGTGTATTAAGTGATTCTGACCGAAAAAAACTCATACAACAGTATTCACACATGCTCGGTTTCATACCTAAGTGCATTCTTCTATGTCGAAGATAACTGCTATGATTGATAAATGTCTTCTGACATGTTTCACAAACAAAAATACCTCTTTTTGGTGTTCTTTTAATGGTTAATTTTGGAATACTTTCTTTGACCGAAAGATCACATGGTAATTCTTGATCACCAACAACAATTGAATCAGATTCTAATATTTGTATCTTATTATCATTATTTAATAAATTATTTGGATTTTGCCTCTTTCTTGGAAGATTATTATTTGACATGGGATAACATACTTGTCGATGAGCTAATACTTCTTCCCGATTTTTTAATGGCTGAGAACATATTGTACAAAGCCAAACTACTGAATTATTATTTTCATTTTCTTGAGAAGGATTTTTCTTCACTTGATTTTGAAAAACTGGTTGATTGTATGGGATTTCTTGGTTTGTTTGTCTATTTATATTACTTTCTTCTCCAAATAAACTTTTATATTGATTAGGTTTCTCTTCAGGAACAATAGTATACAAATCATTTTTTCTCTTTTGAGAATATCGTAATCTTTGAAGCGGTAAACCACAAGCTTGAAGTGGTTCTTTATTATGAGCCTTTTGATTATGTTGTTTTAAAGTTTCCGTATCTTTAAACCACATCCCACAATGACACAACCTAATACTTTGTCTAGTACTACCATGAGCCTTCTCAGCATGTTGGATTAAAAGATATCGACGAAAATAACGTTTACCACATTCCCCACAAATATGACTTTTTCCTGTAATATGCATTCGCAAATGACGTCTGTAACTTCCATAATTTGTAAAAACCTTCCAACATATCTTACACTGATAAGAAGAATCCTCACTCTGGTTGGTAAATAATGAATAATAATCTTCTGTCAACAAAGATGAATCATTTAAATTCATAAAAGTTTCATTAACATACTGATTATAATTATTGTCCATAACATTAGAAGAAACATCACAATCTTTGTCATTTAATGCATTTTCTTTATCTTGAATGGCTTTAGTTTTAATTCTTCCTCCTTGAAAGCACTGAAGGCAATGCTCCTGTAATTCTTGTGGATTGTTAAACATTTTCCAACAGTTTCCACAAACATGGCATCTGTTAGCAGCTTTTTCAGGATCTGCTTCCATTGAAATTGAATAGAAACCTATAAGCATAAAATGATTAATGTAAGAAAATATATATAACTGATCAGTAAATTATTTTATACTATATTAATAAAATAATTGAAAAATTATTTTAAGACAAAAAAGATAAATATATAATATACAATTTTAGATAAAAAAGAAAGTTAGTGGCTGTTTACTAAAATTTATCTCTAACTTTAATTCTTTCACTTGCTATAAATTACGAGGTAGGTATAAAAAGTTTCTGGCTTATATTTTAGATGTTATAGGTTTAAAACAAACGATGTTATTTTTCAATATATACTCCTTGCAGTTCAACACAGTATTACATCTTGGAAATAGCATTTCAATCCTTGAAAAATATTCTGCACTTTTATTTGCAAAATGCTCATAAACTGCCTCCTGTAACTCTTCATCACTTTTAAATTTTCTCCTTCAAAGGTCTTTTTTGAGTTTTGTAAACATAATAATCATTAGGTACCAGGTCCAGGCTGTAGCACATGGAAGATGGTCAAGTTCTTCAACCCACACTCCTTCCTAGCAGCCTTGGCAATGGCAACCATATGCACTGGCATATTGTCCTGCAAGAGGTAAATACCCTTACTCAGTTTTTTCTGTGCCTTTTTCCTTGATGGCATTATGCAGTTTGTTAAGTGCAGACAAGTGTATTATTCCCCATTCACTATTGTGTTTCTTTCCTTGAAGTTGATCAGTAGGATTCTTACCAAATCCCAAAATATCGTTGCCATGTTCTTCTTTGATGACTGAGTCATCTTTGCCTTTCTTGGGTATTTTTCATTTGACCTATGGGTCAGATGAAAAGTGCCATCCATTGATTCTCTTTTTGATTAAAGATTATAATATAGGATCATAGTTTCATCCTGTGATGACAGAATCCAGGATTTCCTTCTGATTGCCATGGCAAAGGTCCAAAATTGTCTGACACCTAGTAACATACTGTTGCTTTTGAACTGCAGAAAGAAATCAAGGCACCCATCTTGCACTGACCTTATTCATATGAAGGTGCTTATGAAGAATGTAATGTTCAGTACAGTTGTGTCTGAAAGTCCCAACCTTGCTGATAGTTCCTTCACTTTCAAATGCCCGTCTTGCAGCACCTCTTGCTCAACAAGGAAGACATTCTCTACTTTCAGAATTTCCACTATGAAAGATGAACCTTGTGAGGGCCAGCCCTCACAAGGTTCATCTTCAATGCCCTCTTGGCTTAAAGGAATGGGCTAAATGGTTTCATTTATGGTGAAAAACAAAGAGAAAGCTTCACCATACACATCATTTAAGTGCTGTTTAATAACACTGAAGTAAAACCTTCGTTAGTAAGAAATTTAATGACAACTCTGTACTCAACTTTCAACATGATGCAAATTAATGCAACAAGTCTAACTAAAATGCATGTTTCCAAATAACTTATGCAAATTGGCAGAAAATCTGTTTTATTAAATCAAATACACCTTCCTCTCACTTTCCAGCATTCACTGATTAAAAACAAATGTTTTTGGCTACTTTCAGTGGCCTGCATCAGGTTAAGCAGATTCTATATTGAATATCTATATCTATTATATAATATAGACATTCAATATAGAATCTGCTTAACACAAGCACAGGCCACTGAAGGTAGCCGATAACATTCATTTTTAATCATTGAATGCTGGAAAGTGAGAAGAAAGTGTGAATTTAGTATTTAGAAGATAATTCTAAAGCTGGAAGTAACAAGTCCAAAAACAGATTGCATTATCTGATACTATCATCATTTTATTCCTAATATGTCTAAAATATAGTTAGGTTGTAAACTTTTGGCATCTATTACGTACTTCATGTGAACATTTACAGTCCTTTTCACTGGCCATCTTCAGTTTAGAACAACAAAATTCCAAACTAGTAAAAGTGAATTAAGGAACACCAAAATTCAGATTAAAATTTAAATGTTCAAACACATTGTTAGGCTATTGTTTGAAATACATCAGATTGTTCTTACAAAACTTGATATATATCTACGACCTCTAAGCAGGAAAGAGAAGTCCACAGTCCTTATAATTATTGATTTGCCTCTGGGTGTCAACTTATACATCTCTAGTTCTAGTCAGCTGATGGATGTTCTGTACCAGTCTAATAATTGTGGCTTCCATTCTGCTCATATCCACAGAGCATAAAGGAACTTTTCTTCCAGGAAGTGTTGGGGTCACAGCCTGCTCCCTGAAAGACAGGTTCAATGAGCATGACTCCACTATAAAAAGAAGGTAATGCATCACAGCTTTGGTAGTCTATACATCAGAACAATCTGTGGATGTAAACATAAAAAGAAACAAAGATTATTAGACTGATACAGAACATCCATCAGCTATGTCAATAGAAGAAGTAGAGATTTATAAGTTGACACTCAAAGGCACATCAATAAATTATAAGAACTGTGGAACCATCTCCCTTGTCGAGAGACAGTGTTTTGAAAAACCAGGATAAGAAATATGTACAGTTAATCTCCTTTACTTCTTTTTATGAGTTGTAGTTTATTGTTTAACAAGATAAAAGAATTTACAAAAACTACATATTGTTTGTTTTAAGAAATACTTAATTTTTCTCAAATAGGAAGTCATATATCATAATCTCACACAAAAATTAAAGATTCTTCTGTGAGGGACGAACAGACCCACAATAAAGTGTTATTTTAAATTTTAATTATTGGAAAATTTAATCGGTTAAATTCGAGCGTTTTATCGAGTTAGGCTAAAAGCCATAAAAATTATTTCCCACAGAGTTTGTTCCTTGTAGAGTCGGATCACGTTAGTCAGGGATGTGTCACCAGGAACTTTTGATGGAGAATCCATATTGGACACGAAACCCTTAACGGCAACCACCTGACCTCATGGAAAAACCCAAGAGGAATAAGACGAGAAAAAGGAAAAAGGACCCGAGGTCAGTCGTCATCCAAAGTCCCTCTACAACAGTCGTCTTCACACAGTCCGCTCAACAAAAGTAGTACTCCCGAATTAAAACCGTGACCCAGGATTAACACCGAGAGAAAAAGATCGTGCCTGATTAAGTCTCTACACTTCTCCGTGCCTCCACACCAGTGAACAGACAAGATTCGAAACTAGTGTAAAGAACAGTCCATCGACAAGGTATTTATCAACCCGCGATTCGTTTGTAAACTCTCTCTCTCGAACGGAATAGTATAAATAGGGGGCTATGACCGAAATTGACTCTCTTTGTATTTCCTTTAGTTTTATTAAANTACAGGACGTTTTTTTTTAAACTGACAGTACTCAGAGACATCTGTAGAGCAATCTAACAGCCAGACTGTCGCCAAATTTGGGAGAGTGACTAAGAACGACATGGGAAAGAGATTCTGCAAAGAAAAAATAGTAGTACCCAAATTCGCCGGTAGGGATGGATTTGGTGCAGCTGTAGATAATAATTTGCATAACGCACTGGTAACACCTCAAAATCCAAATTCACAATGATGTGGTCAACGGCAGCGCCACCTAATTTGAGCTTAAAAGACAAGGACAAAAGTCCGAAGCACATTCAGGACTTCAGCAGAGTTCAACTTGTATCTTTTGTTACCTCAACATGTGTTGCTTGTGAAACTTTATTATCTTAACCAATCGAGCACACCAGGTGCTCTTCATGAGTTTAGAACCCAAAACAACCTGTGCAAAGGTCCTCTATCAATTAATGCATTGAAAGACTTGATAAAGAAATTTAAAGAGACAGCATCCTTAGCAGTTTGACCTGGTAGAGGGCAAAAACTGGTGTCTGCACAGACAGTTAGTGATGTTGCAATTGCACTCATTGAAGGTTCTAACCCGCAGATCTAACCCCATGTGACTTTTTCCTGTGGGGTTACTTAAAGTCCAAGGTCTATCTTGGTGGTGTCTCCAACTCAATTGATGACCTTGAAGGACAACATTTCTTGAACTGTGATGAACATTCCTGCAGACATGTTACGTTCGGCCATAGAGAACATGGTGTTCAGGATGCAATGTGTTGTCCAGCAGGACTGTGGTCACACTGAAGGAGGGAGAAAGTTATTTGCTGATTAATTAAACTTTCATTATTGCACTGAAACCTCTGTCTGATTATTCATTCATGTGTTTGTTAATTGCAGCTGGGTTTTATGCAAATTCTTAGCTGATTTGCTACAGCAGTGCCAAATCCACCCCTACCAGCGAATTTGGGTACTACTTTTTTCTTTGTGGAATCTCTTTCCCATGTCGTCCTTAGTCACTCTCCCAAATTTGGCAACAGTCTGGCTGTTAGATTGCTCTACAGATATCTCTGAGTACAGTCAGTTTAAAAAAACACCCTGTATATTGTTAGGGTTTTTCCCAGGAAAAAATTCAGATAGTTGATTTGCAATGTTAGCTGGCTGCTATTGCATTTTTCCTTACAAACCATCAGTTAATGACAACAAAACACTATTCATACTATAACATTCAATAGTATACTGATTCAAAATCTATTTATCTTTAAAAAAATAATAATAAATAAAATAAAAGCTAATATTTTTAATTATTTACAGAAAAATCAATCAACTAAAACCAGCTTTGAGAAAACAATCTTGTTAAAATTGTAATATACAGTATATGCTAGAAGTTAATTTTTTCTTTTTTTAACTTTTAAGCTAAACATTTTACATTTATGATTACAGTAGAACCCTGATTATCCAAGGTAATGTGAACTAATGCTATCTCAGATAACTGAAAACTCAGAAAAAACAAATGGTCACCGGTCACAGAAATTTCTGATTTAATATTTACTATTTAATTGATTTAATATATATATAAATAAATACAGCAGAACACCACTTATCTGAGTTAATGTAGATTGATGGTAACTTAGAAAACTTAGAAAACATGGATTTCCACAGCCATTTTGGATTAAAAATTACAAAAAATGTAAAGTTATAAAAAGATTTATATAGTATCACTTAAGCCTTATTTTATATCTTATTGTTTTTATATTTAAAGTCACTACTTTTTTACACCATTTATTAAACAGTTAA